GGGAAGGGGAGAAAGAGGGCGAGACAGAATCCCAAGCAGGCTCCTAGCTGCCAATGAAGAGCCGGCCATGGGATTTGAACCCAGGAAATGTGAGATCATGACCTGAGCTGAGATCAAAAGTCAGATGCTTAAGTGACTAAGCCACCCAGGAGCCCCTCAAAGTAGTATTTTTAAAAAGCATCTGTGTGTCGGGGGGTGGGGGGTGGGGACATTGCTGCCCAGTGAGGCTCAGCCTTTCTTCCTGCTGGCTCAGCATCATTCCCCACTTTTACCTTCTGGTCTGTGTGACCTTGTGCAAGTCATGTGATATCATAATCCTGTAGGTCTTCAGCTTTAAGCTGTACGATTCTTCACTTGTTAGGGTAAAGCACACTGTAACGGAATTTTTTATTAAGAAAAAGTTTCTTTTAGAAGGAATAGAAATATTCAGATAGTTTGCAAGTAAACAACATCTTTTATTAAATGTCTTTATTTTATTTTATTATTATTTTTTTTAACGTTTATTTATTTTCGAGACAGAGAGAGACAGAGCATGAACAGGGGAGGGGCAGAGAGAGAGGGAGACACAGAATCTGAAACAGGCTCCAGGCTCTGAGCTGTCAGCACAGAGCCCGACACGGGGCTCGAACTCACGGACCGTGAGATCATGACCTGAGCTGAAGTCGGACGCTTAACCGACCAAGCCACCCAGGCGCCCCTTTATTTTATTTTTTTAATGTTTATTTTTGAGAGAGAGAGAGAGAGAGAGAGAGAGAGAGAGAGAGAGAGGCTGAGTGGGGGAGGGGCAGAGTAAGGGAGACACAGAATCAGAAGCAGGCTCCAGGCTCTGAGCTGTCAACACAGAGCCCGACTTGGGGCTCGAACTCGTGAACCGCGAGATCACCACCTGAGCCAAAGTCGGACACTTAACCGACTGAGCCACCCAGGCGCCCCTGAATGTCTTTATTTTAATCCACATGTGTACGTGGGACCCCATAGCCTGTGTTCTAAGAAGTGAATGCCGTCTGCAGGCTAATTAAAAGCTCTCGCCTGTGACTCTCCCCGGACCCCTCATGTTCCTGGAGCAGGCAGGAGGCTCTTCCCAGCTCTTGTTCCCGGCACCTCCAGGCAGGCTTGCCCGTCTGGGAGCCGTCCTCCTGTCTCCCTGCAGGGACCCAGCTCACAGCGGGCACTGTGTCCTCCCCGTGCTGCTTTCTTCTCTGCGCTCTGCTTCCCACAGGGCCTACATCGCAGTGACAGCAGGTTGTGGTGGATCACTCCACAGGCCACGGAGGCCGTAGCCCTGATCTGATCCACTACGTCTCATTCAGTCTAGACCACCTGGTGCATTATCTGTAATAGGAAGTCACACCAAGAGGTGATGCCCTTAAATCTCCAGTCCCCGGTGGGGGGAGGGTCAGGTCCCCATCCCAGAAAAACTTGAACCCTAAGGCAAGGAGCCATGATTTGGGTGCAAACACCCTATTACTGGAACCAGTAGGTACTCAAGAAAAGCGAATAAGGCAAGAGGCCAGTTTCTAGAAGCACAGGCTCAGAGTCACAACAAACCAGCGTCAAGGATGTTTGGATGCTGAGGGGCCACTGTCAACACCCAAGACTTCCTAAATCTCCATAGGATATAGGGGTCCTGGTCCCAGAGTTGGCCTGTAGGAGCTCAGTCAGCCACGGAGGCATTAGAGAAACAGAGCAAGGAATAGTGGAGATAAAAATTAAGCCAGCTCTTACACCACCTCCCCATACTTGAGTCATGTATATTCTAGCGAGAGGCCCAAGAACAACACTACATATGTGTTGACGTAGCCTATACCTCTGGCCCTTTAATTTCACTAGTGACTATTTTTAAAAAAATATTCTAAATATAACATAAAAGATTTCCCTGAAGAAGGCTTTAGAATCAAGCAGATTGCTTGAATTATGTCTCTGCCATTTACTAGCCATTTAATATTGGGTCAGCCTTTCTGATTTCCTGCTTTGTTTTCTGTTAAGGAGGGATTTCAAGACAGTCCTAATGATATTATCGTGAGGACTAAGATTAATCTCCGCACGTAGCATGGAGTGATTCTTCCCAAACTTGGCTGAGCACTGGAATCACCCAAGAAGCTTCAAAAAATACAGATGTGGCTCCGTTGGTTAAGTGAGTGACTCTTGATTTCAGCTAAGGTCATGATCTCACAGTTCGCGGGTTCTAGCTCCACCACAGGCTCTGTGCTGATCGCATGGAACCTGCTTGGGATTCTCTCTCTCTCTCTACCTCCCTTTCTGTCCCACCCCCACTCACGCGTGCGCGCTCTCTCGCTCTCTCTCTCTCTCTCTGAAAGATAAATAAATGTTAAAAAATAAAAATTAAAAAAACAGATGCTTCCCACCTCCCCAGAGAGACACGGGCTAGGTTTTTTAATTTCTAACAGATTTCAGAATGATTCGAATGCTCACACAAGTTTGGGAATAGAGGCATAGAGGCCGTCCTATACTGAGCATTAAATGTCTTGTTACATGAACAGAAGTAATCGACACCTGGAAATACTAGACTTTCCAGAACTCTTGGCTCCCTTCCCTTCCCTGACCATCTCCCTTCTGTCTCTACTGGGACACCTGAAGATTAGTGCTGGGCTGCGATTTCAGTGGATGTGACTGCCACTTGTGGCCAGGCACATGTGAGAATACAGAACACTCTGTACTGGTACTCGGTAACAGGTGCCCTGAGATCCTGTGGGAGGAAAAGAGGAGGAAGAAAGAGGGAAAGACCGGGTTCTGCTACAAAGTAGCCCCCAAGGCCTGTCAAGGGAACGCCTACCAAGTTTGCTTTTGAGTCTGCAGGAAAGCCCCTGAATGCTAATTGTAAAGTCCCCTTGGAAACGAGCCTAGTTTTGTGCTCTCACTGGGGCTGAGCCAGAAGGCGCTCAGGATAAGTTGAGTTTCAGCTGGTCCTGAGTTCTCTTATATTTTGGCTTTTACATTCAACAGTTGTTGCAGTAAATCCTTTGTTTGGCGTTCCTGGGTCAGCCATCTGAAGGTATCAAAGTTCCAAAAAGTTGTATCTGTAGCTTATTGGTTTCAGTGTCCTTTTAATGGCTCTTAGAGAGACGCTCTGAATTCTGAGAGCAGGGGCGCCATCAAAATCAGTCTGAGATAGAGAAGCCAGTATCCTCTATCCATTCCACAAAATAGGACTGCAAAGCTGCAGCATTTCAGAAGTGAGGAAGGGGTCTGGCCCTCCACTCACTCTATGAGCTGTTACGTGCTTATGAGTAAAAGTAGTGTTGGTGGGGGTAGTGGGGCTTTCAGGGTCTGGAACTAAGGACTGAAATATTGCTTGATGTGCAAAGCTTCTCTTACATGCTATTGATGATTCAGAGCAAATTCTCAAATTTCACCCTAGCAACATAATGGGAAACGTTTAAGATACGAAGAAAGAAAAATTGGCCAGCCTCATGAATTGTGCAGTCCTGGTTTACTTGACTCAAGCATTCTGATGGAGTCAGGCTGGTCTTCCTTAGAAACGAAAAGCCATCACAAATTACAGCTTCAGGAGACAAGACCTCCAGCCCACTCAGTTTTTCAGACATGCATTCTGAATAAGAGAAGAATCTTTTATCTTTAGAGTAATTCTGCACTTAATAGAGATTATATAAGTACTTTGAAAATAGCATGTTGGGTTTTTTTTTTTTTTTGTTTCAACTGAAAACTACTACCAATTAAAACTTCCCAATATTGACACTTGGGAATACTGACTTGCTTATGAAAATGAGAATATGCTGTCTTCGTTAATATTTAGCACTTAGATGTTTTACATTTTATATTTGGCATTGGAAATACATGAGCCTAAACCACATGTCCATTACTCTCAACTTTTTTAATTATCTATTTTTTCATTGAATTCACTTATAATGCCTTATCCTAGATACAGAGTTCTACTTCAGGTTTATTTTTTTAACATTTATTTATTTTTGATTGGGTGGGGAGGGGGTGGAGGGCAGAGAGAGAAGGGGACACAGATTCCGAAACAGGCTCCAGGCTCTGAGCTGTCAGCACAGAACCCGATACGGGGCTCAAACCCACAAACCGTGAGAACATGACCTGAGCCAAAAGTTGGACGTTTAACCGACTGAGCCGCCCAGGCACCCCTCCGCTTTAGGTTTAAAAGTAAAATATTGCATCACCCAAGTTTGTTGTATATGTGTGTTTACATGGGGGAGAGGGGGTGATTTTCTCAAAACATTCAAACATACTCTTCTATTGTCTAGCACCTTTTACTGTCATATGAATTTGTTAGAACTTCAAACCGAAAACAAACCTTGAATTTCACATAGCAGCGAAAATAAGTAAGCCTAGATCTTGCTCAGAAAGGATTCAATTTTTAATTGGTTCATTAACAATCAACATTAGATGCATGAAACCATCAGATGGGTCCTGGACCCTGATTTGACAGGCATCCAGGTCATACACGGCCCCCACTTGGGGGTCAGTGTGAGGCATGCATACTTGGAAAATGAGTTGCAGAGAAAGAGTTTCAGTATCTCTCTCTTGAGCTGCTCAAAAAGGTTCAGAAACACCTAATATCCACTGAGTATTTTTGCCACTCTCTCTCTTATTGGTGGTTGTGATTCCCAGCAGCCCAAAAGAGCGAATCCTCTTATCGATTGAACTACATTCTGCTTATGATTCTCAGCTGGCCAAGGCCTGGTTCCATTCAAGTCCTGAGCTTTGGATGTGACCCTGTGAATATGGCTCTGTTTGCCTCTGAGTTGGCAGCATGAACCCAGAGCATGCAGTTTCTGCCAACAGGGCCCTCCAGCTCAGTCATGCTCTGTTCCCCAAGGTGCATCCCCCGCCCCCGCCCTCGGGGGTCCCAGTGCTCCAGACAGACCCGTGGTGCCCGTTGTGAGTCTTGAACGCCACTTCTTCATTGGTAGCAGGTTCTGAGTGACAGTGGTGAAATCCCAACTCTCAGCGAGAGCGTGAGTCTGAAGACAATGCTTTCCGTCTTCTCTCTCCCTCAGGGGCCAGTAGCATCAACCGCATCAGCATCGTCTGTCCTGTCCCCTGGGCCTGGCCTTCCTCCGCCCCCTCCGCCACCCCCTCCTCCAGGGCCACCTCCACTTTTTGAGAATGAAGACAGAAGAGAGGAGCCCTCCCCTTCACGCTCAGCTCTATTTGCCCAACTTAACCAAGGGGAAGGAATTACGAAAGGTGAGAAAACTGGACCTTGACTCTGTCTCCCTCTGCCTCCAAGGCACATAGCTTCCCCCCCAGAGCCTACAGTGATGGATGCATCATTCCATCCCCATCCCCAAAATACGGGGAGCTGTGTGGGGAAACAGAAGCCTGCAGCGTTCTTCATCTCGAGGGAGACGGGCTCAGTGGGCTGTTACGTGGACCATCAGGAAGAACTCAGAGACTCTGGGTTCCAAGTTAGCACCACTCACAGCAGCCTCGATGCTTCGGCACCATCTACAACCGGGGCATTAAGACCGAGTGAAATAAAACGACAAACAGTAGTACCTCTGTCCTCAAGCAGTGGACAGGCTTGCCAAATAATTCTGTCATTGAAGCACATTTGTCATCACTGTGAACGGTTGTTTTTAATCATACCTTTAAGATATATCAGGATGTACATGCATTCTGAACAGTAAGGTTTATGCAAATGTATTTTTGTTTTAGACCAGTAATAGGAGTTATGGTGTAATTGTCCCTGTGCACTGGGCTAGGAGCTAAGAGCCCCAAACTCTAAATTTTCCTCTGGCTCCAGCTGGCTGGGCTGTCCCCTCATCTGCAAAGTAAGAGAATGGACTCATAACCCTGAAGTCTATTCCATACTCTATGGCGTATACTTACTAGAATGCCCTGTCCTTCTAGGCTACACCTGGGGAAAGCATTAGCCATGAGAAAAGAAGTAAATCATGTGATCTTTTTTTGGCCAGGTGCTTTGCTTTTTTATAGAATTTTTATCTATCTTACCTCCTTAAAGAAGTTCCCTCAAATTTAAAAAATGTTTACAGTGCTTCTAATTAACTCTAAATCTATAAGGTCTCTGACTGTGCATATTATTAACCTTGAGAATAGCATTACCAAAATTTCTTGTTCTGTTTATATTCATCCAAGAAGTTAGAGACAGTTCCCTTTGCATAAAATACAAAGAAACGTGGCAACGTGTTCCCTTTCCAGGGCTCCGGCACGTCACAGATGACCAGAAGACATACAAGAATCCCAGCCTACGGACTCAAGGAGGACAAACTCCATCTCCTACCAAAAGCCTCTCTCCAGGCTCCAGGGCCCCCCCGTCTCATCCTCCTCAGAAACATGCTCCCGTGTTCGAGTTGGAAGGAAAGAAATGGAGAGTCGTGAGTGAAGCCCTTTAACCTTAACCTTCATTCCTGGCATGCTCCAGTGACAGGACCAAGTGCTCACCCAGGTCTTCAAGGTTTCTGAGTGAAAAGACAAAGGCACAAGCCTCTGGCTAGAGCAAAAACCGGGGTGTTTCTGAATGCTTCCATCAACTCCTTTTTTTTTTTTTTTTTTACTTTTTGGTTTTTCATTATTTCTCATGCATCCTTTTCTTCACGTTTTTAAAATCATTTTCTTCATTGTGGTAAAATACACATAAAATTTACCATCTTAGCATTTCAGTGACACCTAACGTTTAAGCGTACGTACTGACTCACGGACGCCAAGTGAATTCGCGTTGTGCAGCCATCAGCACGCGTCCACAGAACTCTTTCCATCTTGTCAAACTGGAACCCTGTACCCCTTAAACAACAACTCCCCACTCCCCCGCTCAGCCCCCAGCAACAGCCTTTCTACTTTCTGTCTCTACGGATTTGACAACTCTTTCCACAAGCTTTTAATCTGTTCCCCATTCTGGTTGGATGTAGGGGGTTCAGGGCCATGGACAGAGGCACTGATGTCATCTGCCGCTTCAGCCACCACTTGCCTGGTTGTGTGAACAGGACAGAGACACAGAGAATGTGCACGAGACCTGGTGCTCCCTGCCAATCCATGGAGCTTCCCCAAAGGTCTCCAAAAGACCAGATTCCCGAGAAAGGTTGTCTTGGGCTGCAGATACACAGGGACTTAACACCACGGTCGTCACCAACCTAGTTGCCCAACTCCTTGACGCGGCACATTTTACTGCAGCATTAAGGCCAGACTCAGCAAAAAGACTGAACAAAAAGCTCCAGCCCACCACCCAGCAGCCTCTGGGGTGCCTGATATTGGTTTGCAAATGGACACTGACCCCCCCCCCACCTGCTTCCAAGCTGCGGTTCCATTCATTCCCATCATTACAAAAACAGAGTAAGACCTATGGTTTGGCCTATTAAAAAGTGGTTCTGAAAGGAAGGGCATATCGAAAAGCTAGAATTAATGTTGAACCCCACAGTAATTTCAACGTGCGGAGGATTCCATTTATCTGCATACGTCCTTGTATTCAGTATTTGCATGTGTTTTCATTTTAGGAGTATCAAGAGGACAGGCATGACCTTGTGATTTCGGAGACCGAACTGAAACAAGTGGCTTACATTTTCAGCTGCAACAAGTCCACTCTACAGATGAAAGGAAAAATAAATTCCATTACAATCGGTAGGGCAGCACCCGGGGTCACTTAGGATGGTCAGTTGCTTTGCATAAACATGATGCATGTGCCTAACAGAGCTGTGTTTCTGTTTGCTTCCTCTAGACAACTGTAAGAAGTTTGGCCTTGTGTTTGACAACGTGGTAGGCATTGTGGAAGTGATCAATTCCAAGGATATTCAAATGCAGGTAGGTGGCCTGTCAAGCGTGCGCTCTGAACCCACTGCCACTTTGCTCTGATGATCCAGCTGCCCCCCCAAGGGGCCGGCCATGTCCACCTAGAGAATTCTTCCCTTTCCTCCAGACACAGCTCTGTCATCACCTCCTCTCTGAAGCCCTGTCTTTCTTCTTAGACAGTGTGACTTCCCCCCTTTCAGTCTCTTAGACTCTAACACATCCTATCTTGCACATGCCTATTTCAAGAGCAGATAACTAATCTTTGCAGCCACAGACACTGGCTCAGCACCTGCACATACTCAGTGTCCAATAAATGTTTGGCGAGGTAATGATTGGGATGAGTCAACTAATGAATGAACACAGACTCTAAGAGATTCTCCTAGATGATAGCACCATCCCGAAGAGAATTTTTCTTTTCTCAGGGACAGTTGGTTCTGAGTAAGGAGGAAGTAGAGTTTTTGTGAAGAGTCGGTGAGATTATCAGACTAACAACCTGGGAAGTAGGATTGGAATTGAATTTGCAAACTAGGAGAAAATGTGCACTTCTTTAGTAAATTTTGGTTTAACCCAGTGGGATTTTACAGTATGCCAAGAGTTAATGGGCTTCCTGCCTTTGGCCAGCGATAACCTCCACCTTCGATTACACTCTCTTCATGTTGTTATTTTTTATTATTTTTTCATTTTTTAAGACTTCATTTTTATGTAATCTCTACACTCAACGTGGGGTTCAAACACTCAACTCCCGAATCACAGGCTCTACCGTGACAGGTTTCATACATTTAATTAACCCCTTGTGACCTGATGTTTCCTGATAATGTTTGTTAAAATTGGATTCTGGTTTTATAGATATTTCTCTCGTTTTACTGAGCTTTTTACCACCATCACTTTTTTTTAAGTTTATTTATCTATTGTGAGAGCGAGAGAGCACAAGTGCATGAAAGACAGAGGGAGAGAGAAAATCCTAAGCAGGCTCCATACTGTCAGTGTGGAGCCCAAAGCAGGGCTGGAACTCATGGACCATGAGATCATGACCTCAGCTGAAGTTAGACACTCAACCAGCTGAGCCACCCAGACACCCCTACCACTGCCACTTTTACTTCAAGTACATTTGAATGGACATTTTACATTTCACTCACTACTATTTAAGACATGGTTTTGTGTGCATCCATTTAATGGAAAGAGTCCTGAACCCTGAGCCCTGGGCAAGGCCCCAGTTCTGTCCCCACCTGCCATATGCATTTGGGCAGTTGGCTTCACCTCTGACTCAGAGTTCCCTGCCCTGAAACCCAAGGTTAGCTGAGGGATTCTAAGTCCTCTGCAGCCCAAATTCTAAATATCCTTGCCACATAGGCTCTGTGGATACATGTATCTCTTTCTCACTCAGTTCCATGTATTGTCTGTGGTGCATCTGTGTAAATCTCCTTCCCTAACCATTCTGCTTCCATTTCTTCATAAATTTAATTTCCTGATAGAAAACTACTTAGGAGAAAGCAACCAAATAACTCCGCACAGGCATTTACTATATTGTTATCTTCACCACGTACACAGGGAAACTTGACTGGAATCCTCAGCTCACACTTTAGTTTCAAAAATGTGAGTTATCGGGGTGCCTGGGTGGCTCAGTCAGTTGAGTGTCTGACTTTGGCTCAGGTCATGATCTCAGTATTCGTGAGTTCAAGCCCCACATCAGGCTTGCTGCTGTCAGTGCAGAGCCCGCTTCGGATCCTCTGTCCCCGCTCCTCTCTCTGCCCTTCCCTTCCACCTTGCATTGTGTCTCTTAAAAATAAATAAATATTTTTAAAAATTTTAATGTGAGCTGCGTGCTCAAGGCCACTTAACATGTAACACACTCATTTCATTCATTCATTCGCCAAATGTTTGTTGAATGTGTCTGATGTGCCAGGTACTGTTCTCAGCACAACAAATACCAGTGAGCAAACGAGACAAAAATTCTTGTCCTCGTGAAGCTTACATTCTATAATGCCACCTTCTAATGTAGCATTTCTGAAAACCACATCCATCCATTTATTTAATAGTTCTATTTCTCCCAAAGCATTATGCATGAAAATTTTAAGGAAATCACTCATCATCAGAAAAAGTCCAGTTCTGTGGTGCCTGGATACCTCAGTCAGCTGAGTGTCTGCTTCTTGGTTTCAGCTCAGGTCATGATCCCAGGGTCGTGGGATCAAGCCCAGCATTGGGCTCTGTGCTGAGCATGGAACCTGCTTGGGTTTCTCCCTCTCTCTCTCACCCTCTGCCCTCCCCCCCCCCGCCCCGCTCACGTGTGCACTCTCTCAAAAGAAAATAAACGTTAAAAAAAAAAAAGGAAAGGAAAAGTCCAAGGGTATATTATTATACTCAAGGATAAATATGGTTCATGTAAACCTAATAATAAGTCCACAGTTTCTGAAGAACTATTTTGGATACTGAAGTTTCTACACAAAGAGCCAGGCTTTCTCTCACTTCACATTATTTTTAAGCAACCCTCCCCTCCCCAAAGTCACAGAAATAATATTCTGTGACTGAGGTGAGAGCACATATTTAACCAGGTGAAAAGTATTCTGGAAATAATCTAATCTACCCCCTCTGAATTTTAGAGAGTATATTTCAAGCTTCCTTTTATTCTTACAGAAATGAGATTGGGTAGCACTGATGATATATAAGGAGTTAGCATTTTTTAATGAAAATACATCACGTTCAAAATTAAAACCAATTGAATTAAATACAAAACATGAAGCTATAGTAAAGTGGAAGAAAACAGTTTTAAATACTCATAAATTTCTGGAGAAATAATTCTAAATTGAGAAGTAATAGAAGAAATTATCAAGAAAGCTATGTCTACTTAGAAATTTTAAATTTCTGGGGCACCTGGGTGGCTCCGTTGGTTAAGTGTCTGACTCTTCATTTCGGCTCAGGTCATGGTCTCACGGTTTGTGCATTTGAGCCCCTTATCAGGCTCTGCGCTGACAGTGTGGAGCCTGCTTTGGGTTCTTTCTCTCCCTCTCCCTCTGCCCCTCCCCTGCTCGCTCGCTCTCTCTCTCTCTCTCTCTCAAAATAAATAAACATTAAAAAAATGTTTTTAACTTCTGAACTCTATATAAAAATGGCTACCGCATAACCATTTTTAAAAGTGATCTACAAAGATATCCATGATAACCTTGTTAAGAGGAAAGAACACTTTTGTACGATTATGTAGAGCATGATTTCATTTTTCCATATACACACACATATATATACACAGATATATTTGTATCTGATAATCCTAGAAAAAAAAGTCATAGAAGATATACTACCTTCTGTGACCCAATTAAAGGCATCTATCAAAATCCTATAGTGAAAATCAAACTTCATTTGAATCTTCAGAATTCCCCATTAAAGTCAGAAATAAAGAAAAAATTCCTTCTATCATTGCCTTTGTTCCATAATGCTTTAAGGGTTGTAACCCAGCCAATGACAAGAAAAATCATTGGGAAATATAAAACTGGAAAAGGAAGAGACGAGAATGAGAGAGGGGTAGTGAATGCAGTGGTGGGTAATACAGAGGGGACTTCGACTCGACTGTAAGATTATAGTCCTAAAAAAAAAAAAAGGAAAGAAAGAAAGAAACCAAAATGTTAAACCCTGACAAAGCTGTTTGACATATGTATATTTGCGTGTTATATTTTCTTTGTTGCTATGTTTGAAATAGATCATTCTAAAAATAACCTGGAAGGATAAACCGTGGTTATCTGTCCAAGAGGGACTGAAACTTGGCAACGGGGTTCAGAGACCAGAGAGAGACATTTTCTTGAATCCTTTCCAAGCTTTTGGATGTTAAAATCAAATGAATGTCATTATTTAAAACATTTAATACATTCTTTTATTTTTTTAATTTTTTTAAACACTTTATTTATTTTTGAGAGACAGAGACAGAGCGTGAGTGGAGCGGGGGAGGTGCAGAGAGAGAGGGAGACATAGAATCCGAAGCAGGCTCCAGGCTCCGAGCTGTCAGCACAGAGCCCAATGTGAGACTCGAACCCACAAACTGTGAAATCATGACCTGAGCTGAAGTCGGACACTCAACCAACTGAACCACCCGGGCGCCTCTAATACATTCTTTTGAAGGGGCTTGGTTACAATGGAGATGAGTGGTTGGCCAGGGAGTGAGGACGGGGTTTGACTATAATTGGGCACTAGAGATATTTGGGGAGTGATGGAAATATTCTAGAACTGAGGCGAAATGATGGTTGCACACATCTGTAAACCTACCAAATACCGTTAAATCGTGCACGTGAAACAGGTGAATTTTGTGTTTGTGGATTTAACCTCAATGACTTAAAAAAGGTTGAAGGGAACAAAGGGGCATTCACCTAAGTTCATATGATTTGGTCCAGGAATTCCGTTTTTGGCAAACTACCCTCAAAACATGCACACAAATTTTAAGAAAGAAAAGAGACTCAGATATTCTATGGAAATTTTTTAAATTTTTATAGAGAAATAGGGGCACCCAGCTGGCTCAGTCTGTGGAGGTGTGACTCTTGATCTTGGGGTTGTGAGTTTGAGCCCCATGTTGGGTGTAGAGGTTACTTAAAAATAAAATCGTAAAAAAATTTTTTTGTAGAGAAATACATTTATGGAAAAACCGAACTAATACAGAAACAGATTAAATGCTAGAGCATTGGCCTGGGCAAGGTCACACGTCACCTGTCACTCAGCAGAGGAACGACTCTTGGACCCAGTTCCCTTGATAAGAAGCCATTTCTGTTCCCAAAGTGCTCCCAGACCACCAGGGCACAAAGAGCATGTCTACAATCTATGCTCATGCAGTGTTGACCAAAACATTGTGGAAAAGAGCATTCATACCATATTGGGGCAATGGTTTAAGGTCTGCTTTGCTTTTTCAGACTTTCGGAAACATGGAGTGTTTATGCATTTGTAATACAATATAGCAATATATAAATATCAGTAGAGTGGATTAGTGTCCTGTGCTTGCCTCAAGGGTCCCCATTCTGCCTCACAAACAAATCACCAAAGACCCACTGACAGTTTATCTTTTCTCTTGACTTGCCTGGCTTCCATATCGTTCTAGGCAACTGTAAATGCTTTTCATCACTGGAAGATAAATGGAGAAATCACCAAAACATTACTGCTGACACATTTTTGAAATATAGATCTATGTATTGTTACTGTTTTAGTTTATTTATGGCAAATCCCATGCTTACCTGACCTTGAACTACCTCTGCATTTTTTTTTTTTTTTTTTTTTTTTGGCACTGGGGCTCATTGCTAACTCGGTGTCCAGTTTCTATGGAGAGAGGGAGAAAACAGAGAAGTGTGGTGACCTGGCTAGACTCCCCCTGAGGAATTCTTTACATCACCTGCACCATCAACAGGAGCTGCTCCTTGGGTTTGCAATCCAGCCTTTTCTTCAGGGTGAAACAGCAGATGTCTTTATCACTTCCAATTACCATTACAAGAAGGAAAATTATAGAGTTGTAATATGGTCATTGGGGAACAGGCTGCCCCTATAGAGATTGGTAGGGGGGATGTCTCAAAACTGTTAAAACAAGAAATTTGAAACTGAGCAATATTTTTATAGCACTTAGATATTTGCAAACAATACAAAGAACCGCCCCCCCCCCCACTTGTGGGTATGATCCTGTTTATCTACCCAGTGAGTGGCCTCAACTAAGTCCCCGGTTTTGGCTCCTGGAATTAATACATTTCAAAATAACCTAGAGACTCAGTGTCTTATTCAGGCTTCACACTCAGCCAGTGAGATTTTTATCCGGCAAAAGACTTATGGGAAAAGAATTGTAGTGTTTCTTATTTATTCTTATTTAGGTTCAAGAAAAACCTACTCGATTACAGAATAGTGTATTTACTCTTAAGTGGCAATATTAGTATTTGTTTTAACCTAAGATTGATAGATTTGTCAGAATGAAAATTGTAAGCAAATAAAAGCAAATGCTCCTTGTTGCTTTTATCATGAAATCAAATATATGTTGCAAATCCACTCGAGGGGGGTGAGACTTTTTCTGAACACTTAGCTGCTGTTTTCACATTAATCCCTTCATTTTGTCTCAGGAAAGAGACCCTGCGGCTTGAGAATCCCTTTGTGTGGTCCTTTCATTCTGTCCCCAAATGACACCCACCAGTTCAGCCTGGACACAGTGCCATTAAGCAGCCTCACTAGCCCTGACCCAGCTCTTCCTAAAGCTCCGGGAAGCCCATGCACCATGCTTATTCGAAGACATTCTAATTTTTATTTCTCTACGTTGGTCCCAGGATTGTTCTCTTGTTTATTTCAGGTCATGGGGAAAGTGCCAACGATTTCCATTAATAAGACGGAAGGTTGCCACATCTACCTCAGTGAAGATGCACTGGACTGTGAGATCGTGAGTGCCAAATCATCTGAAATGAATGTCCTGATTCCTCAGGATGGTGATTATGTAAGTACCTTTTAAAAGCCGGTAAAGAATTTTTCTTGAGCATTTTTTATTAGCATTCTTTTTTTCTTCATTTTTTTAATGTTTATTTATTTTGAGAGAGAATGTCAAGCAGGCTCTGCACCATCAGCACAGAGCCTGATGCGAGGCTTGAACTCACAAACTGTGGTGAGATCGTGACCTGTGCTGAAATCAAGAATTGGATGCTTAACTGACTGAGCCACCCAGGCGCCCCATCGTTATTAACATTCTTAGAGATTGATTAATCAGCTCCCAACCTGTGAACTTCGTTTGTAGCATAATTCACAGGCAGAAGAGGAATTCGGAGAGTTGCCTTCCACAGTTCTTCTCCCCTGTTAGTTTCCTGACTGGGCTCATTCCTGGATTTGTGATTCTCTAGGAAGTTCACTGATAATTACCTTAACGGGCTAGCTTTTCTCAAATGGTACCCCATACATCTGAGTTCATGGTATTGAGGACTGACTGTTTTCCTTTGCTGGGGTGGAGGCAAACAGAAAGGAAGGAGAAATGCCTTGGGGAAAAAATGGGAGGGAGGTCGACAATAAGTAGACCTATTTCTCCTGTAGGTATACTTACAACAGGGGTTCTCAAACTCAGTGTAAGGATCAGCTGAGAAGCTTGACGAAAATGTCAGCTCCCAAAGTCTGCACCTGCAGGTTGGATTCAGGGGGCTTTGGGCGGGGTCTGGGGATCTGCACTTTAACAGGCATCCCGGGTGATTCTGATGCCATCAGCCCATCCAGCCCCTCTGAGAAACACAGCCTAATTGATTCTGCAACTATTTCTTCTCTATGCCTCCTCTCCCCAACAAAGCAACCCCTAAAAGAAGCACGCAGATGCTCTCACACATCGAAAAGGAAGTCTAAATGAATACTTTTTTCTGCATCATTCAGTGTGGTGAGCTTGCTGGTTGATGCAACTTGGAAGCAAGTTATTGCTTCCTTCTAGTTGTTGCTTCTTGGAAGAGTACAGATCAACCCAGAGGCGATTCCCTCTGATTCTAACTGTGCAGGAAGGGGGAGGGGGGGAGAAGGGACAGGGAAGCAGGGAAGGATGGGAGAAAAAGGAACTTCGAAGGCCCTGCATCAGCCTGTGGTTCAGACACCAGCCAACTGTCTACACAGTCAGTATTCAGGTTGATCTCCTTAGGCAGACGACATCCATGCTCACACGTTCTCTTTGTCCACCTGTCTTGAGTACTACCCAGCCTCATGCTAAGTAGCACAGCCTAGAATCCATTCTGTCAGGCTGAGAAACAGAAGTCCGCCAGCACTGGGCCATGCCTCCCAGCTCGGTATTTGTTCGGTATAACCCTGAGCTGGGGAAGAGTCTTCTCACGTTCTCCATCTCCACACTGCTGAGGAGCTAAAACTAATACAAAGCAGCTTCGGATAAGAGAGCTGAAACTTAGGGTGGTCCCTGGCCTTTGAAGCTGTGTAGGCAGAAGGCTCAGTCTGCACGGGAACTGGATCTTCTAAGAAAAACAGTGGGTCTGGACCACCTTGCCGGAGTGATTGAGCTAGCATCCCTGGGCGTGGTCCCCGGATCTGCATTTGTTAAAGCTTCTCTGGTGATTCCAACATGGAGCCAAGCTTGAGATCCACTGACCTAAAGCATGAGTAGGGGTCAAAACCTGAGCTTCCAGGCTGAAAAAGGAGTCTTCCCTTTATAGGTAGATTATCTTATGCCCTCATTCCAGCTTCTCTTCTTCTTTTTTTTTTTAATTTTTTTTAACATTTATTTATTTTTGAGACAGAGAGAGAGAGCATGAACAGGGGAGGGTCAGAGAAAGAGGGAGACACAGAATCTGAAACAGGCTCCAGGCTCTGAGCTGTCAGCACAGAGCCCGACGCGGGGCTCGAACCCACGGACCGCGAGATCATGACCTGAGCCGAAGTCAGACGCTTAACCGACTGAGCCACCCAGGCGCCCCATCCAGCTTCTCTTCTTACATTTTCTAGTTGGAGGTGGAAGGAAGCAATACACGGGTCCAGCCGTGGGCATAGCAGTCTGGGGGTGGATGGTGGGGATGACTCATCCTGAAGGAAATCAGTCGCCCAGAGAAGAATGTCATCACATTACTGTCACTTCACTCCCAAAAAAGATGTGAAGCAGCTGAATCATGGTTACTAGCAAAGAAGCACCTCCACTCCGGGGTACTCCCCACCTGACCTGTTCTTGAGAGCAACCACCAAGCCTCCTTGTCTACTCATCGAGAAGAGACCCAGATGGGATACTGACCACACACACACACACACACACACACACACACACACGCACTAGGTTATGAAGACTTTGGCTTCTTTGCTTCATCTTAAGGCTTTCCACTACAGATTTCACTCAGGAAGAATTCATCGCTCCTTAGAGAAAGGGCCTTCCCTAAAATTAAAAAATTTTAATTTTTGTTTGTGAGTTCAAGCCCCGCGTTGGGCTCTGTGCCGTCAGCGTGGAGCCCACTTCGGATCCTCTGTCTCCCTTGATCTCTGACCCTCTCCCACTTGTGCTCTCTCTCTCCCCCCCCCCAAAATAAAATAAAGAAGAAGAAGAATTTTAAAAAAGGGCTTTCCCTTTAAAATAAATATAGCTTGTTCCAAAAGAAGCAGTTGCATCCCACAGCTGAAAAGATACGGACTTGCGTGTATATTTCACTGAAACATTGCATCTCCTTGATGGGTGAGTGCAGACACCAGCTTGTCTGATACTTGGGGTTTCAGCAGTGCTGTGTGTTCAGGAAGTCCAGGGAGACCATGGAAGCCAGCATCAAGAGTACTGCTTCTCACCTTCCTTTTCGATCATCTTCTTTTTTTGAACGTTTATTTGTTGTTGAGAGAGTGAGAGCGAGCAGAGGAGGGTCAGAGAGAGAGACAGGGAGACACAGCATCCAAAGCAGGCTCCAGGCTCCGAGCTGTCAGCACAGAGCCCGACGTGGGGCTCAAAGTCACGAACCAGGAGATCATGACCTGGGCTGAAGTGAAGTGGGACACGGGAAAGAGTGAGCCACCCAGGTGCCCTGGATCCTCTCCTGAAATGACCGCAGAATCACTTTCTGGGGAAAAGAGAGATTCCAAACTACATTTGTTTTGGCTCTCCTGCATCCCCCCTCCATCCCCCACACATCTCTCTCTCTCTCTCTCTCTCTCTCGGGCATATATTTCCCAGTGGGAAGAGATGGTGGCAGGATGCAGAGTAAGAAATTTATAACCCGAAGCACATTTTCCTATTTCATCAAAGGGTACACCAATAACACCGGGATAAAACCTTTCTACTCAGCGTGACTGGACATCAGCAGCCTCAGTGTCCCCTCGGAACTTTCTGGAAATACAGATGACCATTCTCTTCCCCAGATCTCCTGAATCAGAATCTGCATTTTTAAGTTTATTTGCGAGAGGGGGTGGGGAGGGGCAGAGAGAGAGGGAGGGAGAGCGGGAGAGGGGTGGAGACAGAGGAATAGAGAGAGAATCCCAAGCAGGCTCCGAGCTGCCAACAGGAGCCCAAGACAGGGCTCAAATTCACGAACTGTGATATCATGACCTTAGCTGAAACCAAGACCAATGTTTAACGGACTGAGCCCCTCAGGGGCCCCAGAATCTGGGTTTGAACAGGACCCCCAGCTGATCCTGTGCAGGTTCGAGTTTGGTGGAGAGGCTGTCCACCGCTGGCCGCTCTGCTCACAGCAATAGCATCTTAAGCCAGTTGCTTGACCTCCCAGACCTGTTTCCCATGGATGGCATCTCAGTAACACCTCACTCACAGAGCTATCAATTGACTGAGTCCTTGTATATCTAGTACTTAGAAGAATGCCTCATTCTTAGGGGGTTCTAGGTTTCCCCCACACACACCCTTTTTTTTCAAATTTATTTCTTTTGAGAGAGAGAGAGAGAGAGAGAGAGCGAGCATGAGCGGTGGAGGGGCAGAGAGAGAGAGAGGGGGACAGAGGATCCGAAGTAGGCTCTGCACTGTCAGCACAGAGCCCAATGCAGGGCTCGAACTCACGAACTGTGAGATCATGACCTGAGCCAAAGTCAGACTCTTAACCAACTGAGCCCCCCAGGCACCCCAGGAGGATCCAGCTTTAATCATGATGCCCGCATAGTCACAGAACTGACACATAACTATCTGGGTCTCCACATGACACACAGGACCTCTCCACAACACACGCTTGGGTCCCCTAAAATGTCTTTGTCCATCACGTGACGCTATTCAGGCTCCCATCTGTTTGCAGAAGAAAGCCCGGGTTCAAGTAACTTTGTTCTTCATTCTTCCAGAGAGAATTTCCTGTTCCAGAACAGTTCAAGACAGCCTGGGATGGATCCAAGTTGGTCACGGAACCTGCAGAAATTATGGGCTAACCTCCAGAGAGACTGAGCCCCCTGACCTGAACCCATCAAAAAAAGAAACAAGCAAAACAAAAAAAAAACAAAAAAACAAGCAGCATTGAAGACCTAGAAGTCGCAGGAACACCTACTGCTTTAGTTTTGGCTTCCAGCAGTTCTGTGTTCTAGAAACAGCATCATTTCTGGCATGCCTTCGTGGGCATTTTGAAGTATTTACCGTTTCTTCATGATTTGCCTTTGTGTGTAATTTGAGTTCCACATGATGACTAGTGAGCATTACACATTTTAAGGGGGAGGGGAGAATTCTGTCCCCCTAATATCATGAACACAGTAGCTGATAGGTAAAAATACTGCATGATTCAATTTGACACTTCGGTTTAATTGCTAGTTGGAAAATAAAACCTTTGAGAATCTAAGATGTACATTTTTACCCTTGAGACAGTTTCAGTGTGATGCAGTAGTAATATGCTCTGAAAAGTTTTGACCTTTGTTCCCTCGTTTTTACCAAATGTTCACCTTTGTCAGCGTGGATACATTGTCAGCATGATACATATTTCAAGGCACTTTTTTTTTTTTACAAAACGTAAGAAAATTCCATCCTAAAGACCATTATCCAGTTTCTTGGTCCTTAGAAGACTTGTATTCTTTACAGTTACTAAAACTTAAAACCAGAAGTCATTTCTAATTTTTCTTAAAATATTCCTCTGTCATTGTCAAATGGGAAACTTTTACTTTTCTGCAGAAAGTTTTTTTTTTATGCCAAACGATTGGTGGGAGGAGGCAGACAGATTACCTCACAATTTTGCTCAAAGATCAAGCTCATAAATTTTTTTGTTTCCCAGTGTTGAACCTGTTGAATGAATAATCAGATGCCTTGTAAAGTATGTCATTAATGTTTTGTTATAGACTTCCTTTTTCGCTTTCCAGACTTCTAACCAGTCTCAAAACGATGAGAGTTAAAAAGCCATAGATGTAACACTTCTTCCAAAACCTAAGAAATTGTTTGTTGGCTTGACTTGCTGCTCCTATTTTGTAGTATTGATAGAACATGCTTTTCCAGTACAAGAGAAACTAGCATATTCCTTTGTATCCTTCCAGTACACAGCGCTGAACAATCCACAACTTGTTGGATCAGTGTAGTGAATTCTAGTATAATGTTTGCAGACCCAATACAAGCATATATATATTGTGCCTCCTACAGCCTTTGGGATACGTCGTTTCCGTTTTTTAAATATCTTCTATACCCATATAGTATTCAAATTACTAATGCTCATGTACCAAGGTTTTGCTATAAAAGTTTTGTTCATATGAATTACGTGGCTTTAGTAAATATCTTTTTTTTCAACTGTAAACTTATTCTAAAATAAAGTAAAATTCTAATTGTTTAAATCCTGTGATGAATTCTGGGTGTTAAAATTGTTATTTTCCACTTTGATTTGCCCCCTTGCTCGTATGTCAGATATGTCAGATTCAGGAAAGACGGCTGAGCCCTTCTGGTTGAATTGGGGAATGTATCCAACATGCCATCAGCTTCCCTGAAGAATGGCTTCTTCAACGTACCAGATAAAGCCATTTGCAGTTGGAATGACTGTCAGTCAGAAAAGTCTAGAATCCAGCTCCATAATTCAAGTCCTCTTCACTAGGAAAATCCCCCTCATAGACCTTCATTAATGTAAATATCCCAGAAAATGAATTTACTTTTTAGTAGGATACAATAATACATATACTATATATTTTAATGTATAATATAAGGAAAAATAACTTACAATAAATTTGTAAATAAACTTCTGGAGGAAAAATTTTAAGTGGGAAGAAAAGACTCTAAAAAGGACATGCTACATATCCATTAAATAGTAATAATTTACATCACTCATCATCAGAGAAATACAAATCAAAAACCACAATGGGATACCACCTGACACCTGTCAGAATGGCTAACATTAACAACTCAGGCAACAACAGATGTTGGCGAGGATGCAGAGAAAGAGGATCTCTTTTGCAGTGTTGGTGGGAATGTAAGCTGGTGCAGCCACTCTGGAAAACAGTATGGAGGTTCCTCAAAAAACTAAAAATAGAACTACCCTACGACCCAGCAATTGCACTACGAGGCATTTATCCAAGGGATACAGGTGTGCTGTTTCGAAGGGACACATGCACCCCAATGTTTATAGCAGCACTATCGACAATAGCCAAAGTATGGAAAGAGCCCAAATGTCTACTGATGAATGGACAAAAATGTGGTTCATATATATAATGGAATATTACTTGGCAATCTAAAAGAATGAAATCTTGCCATTTGCAACGATGTGGATGGAACTAGAGTGTATTATGCTAAGCAAAATAAGTCAGAAAAAGACAAATATATGGAATTTAAAAAAGATGAATAAAAGGGAAGGGAAAGAAAAATAAAAACAGAGGGAGGCAAACCATAAGAGACTCTTAAATACAGAGAACAAACTCAGGGTTGCTGGAGGGGAGGCTTCTTAGGGGATGGGCTAGATGGGGGGTGGGCATTAAGAGGGCACCTGCTGGGATGAGCCCTGGGTGTTACATGTAAGTGATGAATCACTAAATTCTGTTCCTGAAACCAATACTACACTGTTAACTAACTTGAATTTAAATAATTTTTTTAATTAAATGTCATAATAACAAAAAAGTAGTCCTAATTTTATATTGAAAAAGTTCACTTAGGGGCGCCTGGATGGCGCAGTCGGTTAAGCGTCCGACTTCAGCCAGGTCACGATCTCGCGGTCCGTGAGCTCGAGCCCCGCGTCGGGCTCTGGGCTGATGGCTCAGAGCCTGGAGCCTGTTTCCGATTCTGTGTCTCCCTCTCTCTCTGCCCCTCCCCCGTTCGTGCTCTGTCTCTCTCTGTCCCAAAAATAAATAAACGTTGAAAAAAAAAAAAAAATTAAAAAAAAAAAAAAAAAAAAAAAAAAAAAAAAAAAAAAAAGAAAAAGTTCACTTAAAATTCTTAGACTCTGTTGGCTGGCCTTGGGCTTGTATCAGGCTTTCAAAATGCTTCATTACAGATACGGAGAATTTGGACTTGAGGTTCAATTATTTTACCAGCCCTGGGGCCCTAAGTTACCTACTGGTTTTATGAGTAGGTTGAATTTATTGAAAAAGGAAAGAAAAAAAACAATAAAACTTTGGCATATATAGGAAAATAATTACCAAGACAATGCTGCTTTTGCAATATGCTTGTTTTCTTGCACATTATGGAATTGCAGTGTTACCAGTGATATGAGGACCTAATAAATATTGGCAAAGGGGTAAGAAATCCAGAGTAGCACAACTGAATGTCATGTACATTCACCAAAAAAATCAGAGCAAAAATAAATGTCAGCAAATCAAGTGCAAGGGTCTCCTGTATCTCTTTGCTTTGTGATGTTACCAACTATCCTTTTGTAGGATCAAATGATTAAAGAATCCAGAGTCTATTGTTTTGAAAATTCTTTCCTTGATAATATAGTTTCCATCAGATAATCTATTACTCGTAGTCTTATTTTCACAAGACGTCTTAAAGTGAGAGGTCCGTACAAACCACTTCTCCTTATTTATGGAAATTCTTTCTAGAACTGGTAGGAAATACATACAGTTTTATTCATTCACGCATTCATTCAGTTGAAAATGTCTACTTCAGGGGCGCCTGGTTGGCGCAGTCGGTTGAGCGTCCGACTTCAGCCAGGTCACGATCTCGCGGTCCGTGAGTTCGAGCCCCGCGTCAGGCTCTGGGCTGATGGCTCAGAGCCTGGAGCCTGTTTCCGATTCTGTGTCTCCCTCTCTCTCTGCCCCTCCCCCGTTCATGCTCTGTCTCTCTCTGTCCCCAAAATAAATAAACGTTGAAAAAAAAAATTAAAAAAAAAAAAGAAAATGTCTACTTCAACTTCTTAGAGTCTAGATGAGTTTATCTAAAGAGTCCCTTCATTTTAAAGAAGAAAAAACTGAGGTCCAGTGACATTAGCAACTTGCATAAAGCAAGCAACACTGTTTTATAACTGTTTGATAATTACTATAACTTGACTTTGAGTCTCACCACGTTTCTGAAAACTCTCCAAGGACATTAAATCCAGTGGTTTTATCCCACTCCTCATCCACTGAAATTGTGGACGCTACCGTTTCCCTGTTAAACTCTATTTGATTTTGTGATGCCCAGTAAACATCTCTGGTTCCTCTCCCTTCTTTTTCTCCCTCTCAGATGCCCATTTGTCTCGCTTAACTTCATCTATCACTTCTGTGTAGATGGCTGCCAAATCTACATCCCCAGCCCAGTTCCAGTGTCCCCAGTGTCTTAACTCCAAGTGCCCATAGACTATTTCTACCTGCCTGTCCCAAGGGCATTCCCCGTGCCAAAAATTAATACACGTTTGCCACACATATCCGTATCTTCCTCGTCTGCCTTTCTAGCTGCAGTCAATTGTCATTGACAAATCTACAACCGGACATTTCCTGTGACAGGAAACACCCAAAGAGAACCAGATCTGAAAGGAACCATGGTTTAGTCTTAAATGTGCTTAATTCCGGATATCTTTGTGACATTTAATTGGAAATGAAGAGCGTGCAGTTGGTTATGGGTCTTTTCCAATGCCTGCGACATGAAATCTTTAGGAAGCATTTCCTAAGTTTCATGTTCCAAAAATGACTTTCATTAAACATACTCATTTCAAAACAATTATTTTAAACCATTGGCACTTTCTGTACTTCAGATACAGATACAATTTAAGGACTTTTAATGGCTTTGGCAGACAAGTTGATATAAGCTTGTATCTGTGCTACAAGCGAAAAGTAAGCCAGTTCTAGTTAACCAATGATGATCCATCCAGATTTCTCCAAACGGTTTTCATTCTTCTACAGTTTGTTTTGTGACTTTGCACAGAACATGCAACTAACAAAGGGCAACATTTGCCTATCAGGAGAGAAGTTTTTTCACGTTTCCCTCTAGTACAACCTAACACTTTACATCGAAAGATGCTTTTTGCCCAAAGGTACAATTTTGAATATTTGAGTTCTAAGTC